TCTTTCCAGCAGTTTTTTTTTTCTTTCCAGCAGTTTTTTTTTTCTTTCCAGCAGTTTTTTTTTTCTTTCCACTGAGCCATCTGGCTTGAGTGTGACGGGTGCCTGTAGGAGGCCTGGCATGGGGGTGGCTCGGTTGTGGGTTGGACAGACCAGTCGGGTGTTCTAGCGCCTTGGGGATGTGAGTGCAGTTGCAGCCCCTGGGCTTCGTAGGCTCCTTCCCTCCACTAGCGACTTGCACGTTAATTGAAAAGAAATACTCTAAATAGAAAGTTAATCAAATTGTAAACACCCCACTTCAACCCACCAGCAGGTACATGTACACTATACACCTACATGCAAGTTAGTATGCGAGGCTGAATTACAAAAAACAAACTAATCAAGCACACAGTACTTAAGAGTAATGGCATGGTTTTGTTTCTGTTCAGACAAAAGCCACAGAGCTTTTCAAAATAAGTGTTCAGACACATGACAGTTGTTGCCACTCCATCATGATAATGCGCACCCATTTATGAGCTAAAAACAATAATAAGGTTCTTAACACACCCCAATTCTTTTAATGACCGTGATGGCTTGAAACTTTCAAGAGGTTCATCTGGTGGTGCCACTCCATTCACCTTTAACCCTTGCCTGTCACGCACCTGTGGCAAACAAAAAAAAAAAATCAACAGTCAATACCAATTCTCCTTACAACAGTAGCAGTGCTCAACTTTCAGGAAAAAACCTTGGGGCCAGCTGGCCCCTAAGTTTTCAGATTTAGTCACCAGCAAAAGTATTTCAATCAGAGAAAAGCATGGAAAGTTAGTCGCCAGTGAAAAAAAATTGGTCTCATTGGCGACCCCAGCAGTCGCAATGTCAAACTCTGAGAAGTCCTCAAACATTTCCATTATTTACTGCAACGATGTACATTTTCTTTCCCTTGTCTTAGATGGTGATTGCACTGTCATAAGTTTAGCCAGCTGTAAAAGTAATCATAAAAAAAATTTATAAATCCTAATTAATATTATATACATGCAGATGTACCTCAGCTAGAAAAAGCTTTAAATCGTCTCTGTTACTGCAAACAAATGCCCGCATATCATTCTGGCTGATCAGGCTTTCAATAAACTTAGCATCTCTAACATCCTTCATTTCAATCTGTCAAAAGCCACACAGTAATTTAAACAGAATTAACAAAATACTAACGGCAAAATAATACACAAATGTTTAGGTAAACATATGCAGGGGTTTCATTCAGGGCTGGGCACAGGGAGATTGACCAGCAGAGAGGATGGTTTTGCATGCCTGGTTTTGACCATGATGATTTACTGTAGAGGAAAGTTCAAAAAGTTTTGCCCACCTGTGAAAATCAATTGCCCTCTGCAGAAAACATTAATCAAACCCCTGTATATGCCCCTTCACCTGTACTCTATACATTATATACATAAATCATTCAGACAGCCAGGCCCCTTCCCCAATGTACCTGTACACAGGTCACTATTATAAGAATACAGATGTCTATTTAATAAGACTAGAGTACATGTAGATCTTTAAGGCTTAAGGGGAAGATTCTTGACCATAGACACCCATTTACTTACCTGCAGAAGGATTGGTTCATGGACAGGGCTTTTAAACCGGTGCTGATTTTCCCGCAGCCAAATCACAGCGTTGTAAGTATCCTTATGTCTATTCCGCAGAATTTCCAGCCGACGATTCTTCATGTCTTCTAACTTAGTGATTCTGCTTTTAATATCTGTGAAAAACAACATGGCGAGAAGAAAAAAACACTTATAATAAATACATGTAGTAGGAAACAATTTCATAATTGCTTGCCACAGTTGTATTATCAAAACAGGTGTATAGCATAACCACACGGTAGGCAACATAAAAAAAAAGAGTACAATCAGGGTTGCAGCAACGGGAAAAATAAAATGAAAACTAATGATGTCCTGATGTCCTGATGTCCTGATATTGTACCCTGAACTTGTTAGAGCTCTGTCAAGACTACTACAAACTGATCAACTAATTTGGGTCCGGGCAGACAGGAAAATATTGGAGATCACAGCCTATTGACCTTGAGCCAAATAAGCTTTTTTTTCCCCACACCAATGTATTAGCCTGCAAAGAAGTTCTTGCATCTTGCAGGATCCAAGCACAAGCAATCCACAAGTAGCCGCAAGAAGTTGCCGGCTTGCAGATGCATAAAGAAGTTCTTGCTCATGCATTATTTTCAGGCTGTAGTGCAACCCTACTCAATTCAGTAAGTAAATACTATTTTAATCAAACACCATTTTATTGAGCTTGCTTTTTTTTCGAAAATAGTAAGAAGGGCATGGTAGGACATGCTCCCCCCCACCTAACAAAGAAAATTTTGAAATCTATAGTTTCAGCAACCATGCAGCTGCAGCGTTGTTTTGGTAGGCTACAGTGTACAGTGAAAATGTCCCAAGAATTCCATGACATTTACACAAACATCAAGAAAACTACAATTGTGCGATATCTAAACCTGTTAAAATATGCATTGATTGCGATATCAAACTGAGAAACAGATGCCCTACAAGTTTCTTCAATTGTACACGTACTTCAACAACAGCACTGTTAGACTTTTCAACAGCAGTAATGGCAGAATGAGATGAAAGTGTAGTTGACCGAAATTGGCTGACTAGCAAGAGGTTTTAGCCAGTTACTGGCCCTTGTTCTAAGTGTACATACTACGCTGTGTTTTGAAGTTTGCAAGCAGGGACCTTAGAAGGCCTTCTTCTCACATCAAGCAATCAAGTTACCCTGTAAAGTACAGGAACATTTGTCAGTCACCTTGAACTGATGCCTTCAAGCGATCTGAGTCATCACGGACTCCCTGAACTTGACTTTGAATCGTCATCGCTTCGCGGTTCTTCTGGCGTGCTTCAGTATTGATCTTGTCTATACGAGGCTTAAACAAGAAAAAGAACAACAAAAATATTGATTACTGAATTTGTAATTATAGAGCGGTTTTCAATTGAGTCTCAAGAGTAATCAGGCAATTGCTTTGGTTTTGGTTTTGGTTTTATGATACTCAACTGAAAATTGCTCTTTGACTAGTAATAATTAAATCAACTGGCAGATGATGACTTGCAATCTCACTGGCCAGCCAGATATTATAAAAGGAAAGTATGTCTATGAAGCTCTTGAAACTGGAGTTTTTGGATATGCTCTGGAACAACATTATTTTACTATAGGTTTGGTAGATGTAACTGAACATGTATGTCTGTACCTGTATATCAGATGGGTCTGGTAGATTGTCCAGTTCATTCTGAAGTCCCTGTATCGTCCTCTCCAGATCACTCATCCTACAAGTATGACAAATAATATACAATAAAAGCACTGTACCATCAACAACCTATAACTAAAATTTTCTGTTGCAGGTACAGGTAGGGGAACTCACTAACATACATGCAACTTTGTCCCCTTTGGGAAATACATGCAAGGCAACAATAATCCCACTTCACTTATCCCTATTTTGTGTGACGTGTAGTGTCTCACCCAAGTGAGTTTTACTTCACTGAGGTCAGCCATTACAATTTGATGCCAGGTGGTTTTTGGCCCACTCACTAACATAAGGTACGTCTTAAAAATCTGCAGAATTGCATATTCAAGTGACAACTACAGTTGTAAGCCAAATGAACAAAGAAATACTCAAAGTGGGGCAATCTTGTTTGACACATAGAAGAGATTTGCAACAAACAACAGCACTCACACAACTTTTTTCAGCGACTTACTGTGCATTTAGATTTAAGACATTAGACATGCAGTGTTGACCAAGTTTCTTTAGAAACTACATTGTACCCTTTGCTTAGTCCAGCATTCTTCTCTGATGTTAAGTATTGCTGATAGAGGATGATCTAACACAATATCACTGGATTTACCGTTTTTGCCTTTTCTTTTCTTCATCCTGCAGATCTTTCAGTTCTCCCTGTAATTCTTCAATCTAAGATAAATGTCAAAAAGAGAAAAAAAAAAAAAAGAGAAAAAGAGCAGAAAAGAAAGATGATGTCCTACTAAAATCACTCCGGATTTCAAGGATAAGAAACTACCATAATGTTAAATTACATGCTGTACACCAAAACTGTTATGATGAAAGACCTACCTTGTCTCCTTTCTTCTCAATCTGTTCACTCTTTGTCTTGGCTTTTTTCAATACATCACTGCCTTTCTGCATCTGTTAAATTAAAAGAAGAGAACAAATTGAAGTTCCCAATCATTCAAAACAATCCTTTGCTCCCTTAGCAAAAAAGGTGGGAGAAATACATGTAAATTATTGACAAAATTAATTTTTCAAACTAATTCAGTTCAATCTGCTACGTGGTCTAATGGTTAGGTGGTTTTACTGGTTGATACCTATCTTCCCTAGGGGCGTAAAAGAATGATGATGATGACGATGACGATGACGACGATGAGGTGGAGGTACATGTAGGCAACATTGAAACTCCACCGTACGAGCAAAAACACTCTAACTACACTTACCAACTCTCTAGTAGAGTTTTCAAGTTCTCGAACTTTTTTTGTTACTTCATCAAGACGTTTCTGCATTGGAGCATTTTGACGCTTGACTTCTTCCAGCCTTTTCTTCACCTTGTCCTTCTCAGTTTTGATCTCCACAAACTTTTTACGGGCTGCTTCATATTCCTGAAATCAATTAATATGTCATTAACAGCAGGAAATGCCAGTCCCAAAAATATGTCTTGATGTAATTAACTTTGAATTACAGCAGGGACACTCATTGGAAAACTTGCATTAAACCTCTGAAGGAGACCAATCTGGGTGTGGTTCAAGCTTTGAAGCACATCACTTTGTTTATTTCTTATTTGTTCAAGTGCAACCCTAAGAGGCACCTTGAAGGCTAGAAAATAATAGTAAGGTTTCGTCCTGAACATCTGTGATTTATATCCCTAGGTGAGACGACACGCATCCCCTACATGTATCTTTTCATATGGAAATGCCCTCCTTCCCCGTGTGCCTGGGCAGGCCACTTCCGAGAAATGACATTCACAAAAATGCAAGGGATCTTATAAGTTGAGCTTGCGACATGTTGAGCCCTTAAAATTACATGAATATGCTATATCATGCTTACATGTACTTTGCAGCTAAAAACAAATTAAATGAAACTTTTACAATCAATGACTTACTGCCCAAGGCTTTTTCTTCTCCAATATCTGCACTTTCTGCAGATGCCTCTCTCTTTCCTGATGTCTTTTGACTTCATGTTCAAGCCGTTCATTTTGTTGTTCTAACTTCTCAAGATGTTCTTTGTTGTTCCTAAGTGAAACCTACAGAGGGTAGTCAAGAATAAGAAAAATTTATAATGCATATCGTGTAGTAACATGGGAGGTGTGGGTCATCATGGCCAACAGATTACATGTGCATGTGAACGGTACACTCTGGGTTGAGTGGTTCTGAGTTCTGAGTGGACAATGTGGAGTGAGCAAGACTAAAGAAATTGAATTCCAGATTGCCCTTCGGACAAGCAGCTATCAAATTTTGCTTGCCCAAGTTAAGTCTTAGTTTACTATTGTTTTGATCTGGACAGCAGACAACTTGCCTGGACCTTTGTGCATCGGGCAAGTGAGAATAAAAGGTTACTTGGCAGGCAAGAAATCTTTTTCCCATCCAGGGGAAGTAGCAATATACTCCAAATAACTCCTTCCTATGAAACTGGGATAATTGCTGCCCAGGTGGACTACATGTACTTCAGCTTGAGTTTTTGCATAATACACAAAATTATTTTAAAGTTCTTAGTGAGTTTTCAAGACAACAATAACATCATTAAGTTTCTAACTTATAACCTCAAGCTCCTTTTCTTGCTTTCTAAGTTCAATGAGCTGTTGATGGGTGTCAAACATGTCTAGGGGACCAACCTGTACAGTGTACACAAAAATAAGATATGTAT